AAGTCAGAGCAACAAAAAGTAATCTATAAATGAATAAATAAAAAATAAATAGTAGACAAAATGTAGAACCCCAAAGGCATAGAGAAGATCTGCAAAACAACCAGAGAGAAGAAACGTTACCTATAGAGGAACAAGGGAACAACAATGAGAATGTCAGCTAATTTTTCAATATCTCGTCTTTATTATTTCCTTCTATCACTTATGTTGGGTTTTCTTTGATCTTCCTTTTGTAGTTTCTTCACAGAGAAGCCTGAATCATCAATTTTAGAACTTTATTCTTTTCTAATTCAAGCAGTTAATGCTACCAATCCTCAAGGCAGTGCTTTAGCTGTAGCTCACAAATGTTGACATGTTGTGTTATTTTCACTCAGTCCAAAATATTTTTTAACTTTTCTTGTGACTTCTTGTTTAACTCATGGGCTATTTGTTTAATTTCCAAATATTTTAGACGTACCAGGTATCTTTCTATTGATTTCTGTTTAATCCCACTGTAGCCAGAAAACATATTCTGTATGATTTCAATCTTTTTAAATTTAAGGATACTTTATGGCCCAGAATATGGTCTAATTTGTGAATGTTTTATGTGCACTTGAATAGAACGAGAATTCCACTCTCGATGGAAGGAGTGTTTTATAAACGTCCTTCAGGCCAGGTTGGTTCCAGTGTTGTTCAGGTCTTCTGTATCCTTTCTGATTTTCTGTACACTTGTTCTATCAATTACTGAGAGAACTGTTGAAATCTACAACTATCACTGTGAATATGTCTATTTCTCCTTTCTGTTCTCTCAGTTTTTACTTCATTGATTTTCAAGCTCTATTATTACGAGTATAAACATTTAGGACTGTTGAGTCTTCTTTATTATCATGAAAATTCCCTCTTTATCCCTGGTAATATTTCTTGATCTGAAGCCTACTTTGATATTATAACCATCCAGATTTCTTTTGATGGGTTGAAAACATAGCATCTTTTTCCATCCTTCTACTCTAACAAAAATGTGGTAAGATATTTCTTGATCTGAAGCCTACTTTGATATTATAACCATCCAGATTTCTTTTGATGGGTTGTCAACATAGCATATCTTTTTCCATCCTTCTACTCTAAAAAAAATATGGTAAAGTATATATAACATAAAACTTACCATCTTGACCATTTTTAAATGTACAGTTCAGTAGTATTAAATACATTCACATCATTGTGCAACCAATCTCCAGAATTTTTTCATCTTGCAAAACTGAAACTCTACAGCCATTTAACAACTCCCCATTCCCCCCACCTCTAGCCCCCAGCAACCACCACTCTACTTTTTGTCTCTATGAATTTGACCACTACAGATACAGCATATTAGTGGAACCATACAGTATGTATCTTTTTATGGCTGGCTCATTTCACTTAGCATAGCATCCTCAGGTCCCATTCATGTTGTAGCATGTGTAAGAATTTCCTTCCTTTTTAAGGCTGCATAATATTCCATTGGATGTATATACTACATTTTGTTTACCCATACATACACTGATGGACGCTTGGGTTGCTTCCACCTTTTGGCTACTGTGAATAACACTGCTATGAACATAGGTGTACAAATATGTCTTCAACACCCTACTTTCAATTCCATCCTTTTACTTTTAACATATCTGGGTCCTTATATTTAAAGTGGTTTCCTGTAGACAGCATATACCGGGTCTTGCTTTTCTATCCAATCTGACCATCTCTACCTTTTAACTGGGAGTGTTCAGACCATTTCTATTTAATGTAATCATCAATGTGGCTGAATTTAAATCTATCACATCACTATTTGTTTTTTATTTTCCCATCTATTTTTGCTCATTTTCCTCTCCTTTTCTGCTCATTGTTGAATTAACTATTGTTTTATGATTCCATTATAGCTCCTTAGTTGGTTTATTAGCTGTACCTCTTTTTTTGGCAGTGGGTTTGCAGTATATATCTTCAACTTACTACAAGCTACATTCAAATTACAACTTCATAGATAATATAAAGACTTGACAATATTATTATTCCATCCTTCACTCCCCACTCCCCACGCCCCATCCTTTGTACTACTGTGTCATACATTTTACTTCTACCTGTTACAACCCCACAAAACACTGTCATTATTACTGCTTCAAAGAGTCACTTATTTTTAAGGTATTTTTTAAATGAGGAAAAAGTCCTTTTTTAAAAAATTGATTGTGAAAAAAAATCCTTCATATTTTGCACTTATTTACCATTACTGGTGCTCTCCATTCCTTTGTATAGATACAAATTTTCATCTGGTGTCCCTTTCCTTCTGCTTGAAGAACTTCCTTTGACATTTCTTATACAGTATGTCTGCTGGTGATGAATTCCGTCAGCTTTTTGTTTTGTTTTCATGTTTGAAAAATATTTTTGCTAGGCCCAGAATTCTACCTTGATCATTTTTTTTCTTCAGCAGTCCAAAAATCCTGATTCCATTGTCTTCTGGCCTGTTTGATTTCTGAAAAGAAGTCTGATGTTGCACCTATCTTTGCTCCTCTATAATGCCTCTTTTTTTCCTGACAACTTTTAAGATTTTTCTTTATTAGTTGTCTTAAGCAATTTGATTATGATGTGCCTTAGTGTGGTTTTCTTTGTTTCTTCTACTTAGGGTTTGTTGAATTTGTATTTGTGGGTTTGTTTTTCATCAAATTTATAAAAATTTTGGCTATTTCTTTAAGTATTTTTTTTCTTTCCACTTTCCTTATCAGATGCTAATTAGATTGCTTGGTATTATCTACTGGCTCACTGAATAAAGCTCTGCTGAACTTTCCTCCCAGTCTTTCTTTCCCTTCATGATTCATTTTCGATAGTTTCTACTGCTAGGTCTTCAAGTTCACTGATCTTTGCTTCTGCAGTGTCTAAGGTGTTGTTAATGCTATCCAAATTTTTTTTTTTTTTAATGTCTATAAGTTCCATTTTGGACTGTTTTATACATCTATTTCTTTTCTTATTATGTTCAACCTTTCCTTTACATCCTTATGTTTATTTATAAGATTATAATACTTACTTAATATCTTTGTTTATGAATTCCATCACCTCTGTCATTTCCAGGTTTGTTTCTATTGATCGATTTTTCCTGGTTATGTGTCTCTTTTTCCCACTCCTTTGTACACCTAGTAATCTTTGATTGGTGCCAGACATTGCAAAACTTACATTTTTAGGTAGGTGCTAGATTGCATTGTATTCTTGTAAAGGGTGTTGGAGTTTGTTGTGGCATGCAGCTAAATTACTTTTGGATTAGTTTGATTCTTCAAAGGCTTCCTTTTAAACTTTACTATGTTGGGTCCATAGCATCCTTTATTCTGGTGCTAATTTAGCCCCTCTACTAAGGCATGACCGACCATTCTGAGCACGCCAACCAATGTCCTGTGTGTATTAGGAGTCTCCTCACTCTGGCTTTTAGGAACATAAACTATTCTCAGCCTGGTATGAACTCCAGGCATTGTGCAAACTCCTGCTTTCAGGTGGTTCTTTCCCTGGTCTCAGAGTTTTCTCCCACATGCATAAATCTATACTCAGCCAAAGACTCAAGGGGACCCCACTCCAAATCTCTGAAGTGCTTGTGTGTATGCGCAGGTGCTCCCTCCCTCTCCCTCCCTCCCCGCCCCCTACCCCGACACACACCATCATTTCTTCTTCTCTGCTTCTATCCCTCATAAATCCTAGCTAACTTGGCCTCCTCAACTTGATTTCTCCCTCCTCAATTCAGTGAGTCTGCTGTGCTGTTCCCATTTCCCCTCCTTGCACTGCAGTCTGGAAACTGTCTCAAGGCAGTAAACTGAGGCAATCATAAGTCTCACCTTATTTTTTCCCATTCTTTCAGAGATCACAGTGCTGCACAATCTGTTTTCCAATGTCTTGAAAACTACTTTTCTTTGCTTTTTTTTCTAGTTTGTTTTCAGCAGGAGAGTAACTCCCCTAGCACTTCAAGAGCAGAAGAAAAATTTTCTAAGGCTTCTTCAGATGTTATGCCTATTTGTAAATCTCATGCCATCACTCACAACCCTATTCCCATTCACAATCCAAATCAGTGGACTGCGGTATCTGAGGCATATTATGTAATTCGAGAGACAGACAGACAGAATAGGAACAAGTAATGAGCCTGATGCTGTGGTAGAGAACATGCTGTCTAGTAACCTGGGTTCTAGCCCCAATTCAGTCACTAATTGGGTATGTGCTTTTAGTAACTTAACATTACAATGCCTCAGTTTCCTCACCAATATAACAGTTTCCTTACCACATTTAACAACTGTGGAATAAGACTATGGATGTTTCCTTAACAAAACAGGGCAAAGCTATGACTGGCTGAATTCCTGAGAATACTTTCTATCCCAGAAGAACCAAATCGGTACTAAACTATGAAATTTCTGCCATGCCACAGTTATAGTTAAAATAGCATAGCCAAAACACAATATTAACCACAATGTTAGATTCTGTGATAAATTCCAAATAAAAGTTATTTTTCTTCTGTACTTTCTACAGAAGAAGAAACCAAAACCATTTTTTGTTCACCAAGCCTATTAACTATTCAAACAAACACTTACTTTCAATTTTTTCTAAAGTATCCATAGAAAATAATTTCCTCTTTTACTATCAATAAGAATAATATCAACTTTTTCCTGCTGATTCCTTGTCTTATAGAGTATCTCAATATAGAATCTAGTTCACTAGATTTATTTCCTTGGGCAATTAAAGAAGAATCTTTCACATCTGACAAAGCCATTTCCTAATTCTACTTGGGCTAAAGGAGCCACACTATTAGTAAACTATATGTTAGTGGTTGTTTGGTGGCAACATTTACTTGGGTCAGATTCTTCTCCACACATTTTTCTTGTGTTCTTCCTAGACCAGTCCTTTAATTGCCCTCTCCCTCCCTTTCTCTGTTTCTCTCTCTTACACAGCTCAGTTTTCTTTCCTGTACCCAAAGAAGTGACAGAGCACTAAACTGCAGAGCATAGTGCAGTGGCAGGATTGGAATCAGCCATTACCTGGTGAGATCCAGAAGGCAGACTCTTTACTAGACCCTCTGTGTTGGAGGGGGACTTCCGTGGAGCCTGCTTAATCGGTGACAAACTCTCTGATAATACAATTCATGTATGAAAAGCAAAAACTAACACACAAACAGTACACACACACACACAGGTATTTTACATGAAGAGCATATATATTCAGATGACCATAAAACCTCCATGTAAACAGACAACCCAACTTCATCCAGATGGTATGCTCAACATGTTTCTAATACAAACACATGACACATTTGTGGACAAACCATAATAGCTGTTGGGTTAGCTAAGAGCTAGCTGGTTAGTTGTCAACAAGGGAGATGGGCTGAATATGTACACATGAATATTAACAACAACGGGCAATGTGATTAGTTACCATGTGTCTAGTGGGAGTGGAAGAGGAGACCCAGCCCTGTTATAGTCCCAGTGTGTCTTCTATGTCAGCTTTTCTTAAGAAGTGGAAGATAAGCAGGATCTGATCCCAGCACACCAAGGAAGAAAAGGCAGGGTAGGGGGAAAAAAACCAAAGTAAGAATAGCAGCATTCATCATGCCATGCAGGACTCTAAGGAACACTTTCCTGTCCCTTTATTAACCCAAAAACAGGAACTACAAAGATAGGCATGACACCACCCTGGATTAGTCTCATGTTGAAAACCAACAATCCAGCAATATTTATTCACGAAACACTCACCATCACCATGCAAGGGGGCAGATACAGTCAGCAGAGTAGAAGCATTCCAAGCAATTAATATCTGAATTTGAACACTCAAACTTGTTAAAACACAGCACTCTTAAAAACTCTAGATCAGCAGAGCTCATAGACAGAGGTTCCCACCATCCACCAGCAAGAGAGTTCAGGGCATGCACTCCTCTCAAATCACAGTCCCTTCAGGACGGTTAAAGTTAGATCCGTGCACCTGTGACACTGCCCGTGCTATATCAACTCGAATTCAGCCCTCACTCCCAGTCTTACCACATGAGTTCTACATAGCTTATATGCGTTAGCTCTCCAGCTGGAGTGGGGAAAAGAGAAGGTCCTTCAATTAAACACATACCCTATGCTCAAATGTGTTCCTTTTGAGAATCCCTAAACAAAAAAGACAGTCTACTTTTCTTTATTGCTGGTATATTTTATTGTCAACTGTTAATATCCCAGTTTGGGTGAATCCAAAAGAATAATCAAAGCAACAAGACTGCTTATTCTTGGGGGGGTGGGCGGGTGGTGAGGGAACTATAAAAAGGAAAAGCCCTGCATTGTCACATCATCACGTTGGGCTGGAGGTGGGGGTAGTTTATTCTTCTTGAATTAACTTCTTGATTAGGGCTTTATAGTTACCCAACTGAAAAGAAGAACATCTTATGAGATGATTAGTTTATTCTTCTTGAATTAACTTCTTGATTAGGGCTTTATAGTTACCCAACTGAAAAGAACATCTTATGAGATGACGATTGTCAAGAAATTCAAATTAAACTTAAACACGTCTGTGGCTTAAGAATACTAATTGTAGACTGGATGGTACTGAAACACAGAACACAGACTGTTGAGTTCATTTCACCAAACCTAAGAAGGAAACTGTAGAACAGGGATTAGTATCATATTCCACGTTTGATAGCAGGCCACTGATTTCTGCTTGCCCATGTCAGAACATCTCCGAAGGAGACTGCCCAATGCTGACACGAAAGCAAACAGTAGCTAATTCTTCACCATCCTTTTTCCTTAAAAAATTAAGGTTTTTATAAACCTTAATTCCTTCCCTTCACTCCTCCCCTCAAAAACAGTGTTTCTTACCCAGTGTAATCCCGTTTTGAGTTTTTCTTTCTATGGACGATGGCCAGAATCATGCTGATGAGCAGAGTGAGACCCAGCACCACAGCAATGACTATACCTACCACCGCCCCAACTGGAAACACAGGCAAACTCTCTAGAGAGAAAGAACAAAAGAGTTAAGGTGCATTGCTACAGAGAGAAGGAATAAAATTTTATTAAATTAAAAAGCAGGTGTCTTCCTTTAGCGGTTACCATACCCTCTTTTATTATCCAAATTATGAGATCCTAGTATCTAACTGATGACATACAAACATGAACTACAGAGCTAAGCATTTCTACACCCACAATCCCTCTCAATGCTCTAATATCAAAGAAAAACTGGAGATGTGAATATACTTCAATCCACTCTCCAACAAAGCAGACTTTGTCTCAGAGTGAGACACCAGAACCCGCATTTCCTGCTTGTTCTCAAAAAAGGGAAGAAATTACTGTACTGTTTTTGGAACTGTCAAAACTTTCTCCTGGAAAATATCAAAGCAGTATTAATCTCTTTCTTTCCCACTGCTCACTGCATCTAACCATAACAAATTTGGTTTTCCTTCTAATTAACACTGAAAAATTAATACTCCTGAAATCAAATCAGGGAGCACAACTGTATGGCAAAAACACTCCCTTCAAACACACCTTGAAATATAACTCTTATTTATTTCTCCAACTAAACATGAGATAAAGGGGACGGTATCATTACTGCAAAAATACTCAAGGAAGTACCTTTTTCTATGACATAGAGCCTAATGTGCCCAGGCTGGACAACAATGTCAGGAGGGTTTTTGACATCACAGATATAGGTGCCATTGTGTATAAATTGCATATTTTCTATGTTGATTGATGCATCTTTCTTGTCAAGGTCTCCAGCCCAGCTGATTCTGTTCTTAAATGGTGGATAATTCCCCAGGTATACTTGCCCTTGGGAGTAGTGGAAAAACTGCAATTAGAAAAAAAATAACAAATAAGCTATTTTCAAAAGCAGAATTCCTAAACTCTGTAACAGGAATGCTGTGAAATGGTCTTTTAAAAAAGACTTCACACATAAAGAAATGCAGCATCATATTACAAATCTGAAGCTATGGAATCTAAGCCAGACAGGGCTTGGCGATCATGGGGTTCAACCCTGACAGGTTTTAGTTCAAGAAACAGACTTGTATATCATCTCTCATTATCTCAATATCTCACTGATGTAATTATTACTACCACCCATACAAAAGGAAATAAGGACTCAAAGAAGCCATTTTCCCAAGGTCACAACGATAGGAAGTGGTGGGCTCAGAGTGTAAACCAGGCTTATCTGACTCTTCAAAGCCAATGCTCTTCCAACAACACCGTGATGGGGCCCAGTGAGTCCAAAGGCTTCAGAAAGTTTGTCATTCACAAAGCAAGAAGAAAAAGAAGCCAAAATATCACAGATCAGTTTATCCGTGGGCTGCTCCTTCTTACTTATTGGTTTCCTATGGACAAGTCACATATGTGAAAGAAGCAAAGCCCACACAGCACAAACTGCTCTCACCTGCCTTTGAAAGTTCAGCCTTTAGCCCCTTTCTCTTTCCATTTTTTGCTCTCTCCTCAGACCTACTGGCAAAGAAACTCACTTCTCAAAGTAAACCCTGTCAAACCCAGCACCTTGGAAGCAAGGTGAGGCCCAGTGTGAGGGGGTCTATCCTCATACTTTAATCCAAACAGCCCAGCTGGAGGCTCAATGTCTTTGTTCTCATTCATGGGTGGGGTGAGGGGCTGGGGTGGAGATCAGCTCCACTGGCAATTCACATAGAACATCTTTGAACCCTTGGAGCATGCTGAGGACCACTGTGCAGTCTCATCTGTTCCCATGATTTAATGACTATCTATATTTTGTCAGCTCCCAAACATCTCTCCGTAGACAGTGTCTGTTGAGCTCTAGACTCCATACCCAATTGCCTACTCACTTTATCACCAGGCTGCCTCCGTCCCCCAAGCTTGTCATTTTCTCCTATAAACTTCATCTACCAATGTATCTTATCTTGATTGATGATGACCATTTGTCTCCCAAACTATAAATTTTAAAGTAATCTTTGATTCTTGTATCTTCCTTCCCATCCAATTAACCCTTTAAAGATGCATGTCTGACTTCTGCCCTGGAAAAAGACATTATCTTTATTATACTGGACAGTAAGCAAACCTTTCATTTGCTCCAGAAGGAAACACCATCTATATCTTCCAAGGTTAGTCACTGTACAAAGAAAGTTCAGGACAAAGGCAGCTAGTGCCTCTGCTTGCAAGACGTGCAGAAATGTGTGAAAGACCCATGGAAAACTGTCTCCCAACAACACTCAAATGCTTAAAACTATCCTACAAGGTGAGATTCATCTGCCTGATATTTCACAAATGAGGAAAGTGAGGCTCAGAAAACCTTGGTGACTTGCCCAAGGTCATAGGTCTTAGAGATGAAATTTAAACCCAGCTTTGATTTCAGAGCTGAGACTACTTCCATTATTTAATGCATCTCTTGTCTGATCATATCTTGCCTGCTCAAAGTCCTTCACTCTCTCTTCTTTGTCAGGAAACAAACCATAAAATCTCAGCTTAGCAAGCAAACTCCTCCATCACCTTCCCTTTCCACCATCTCCAAATACTCTCTGCCTTGCATTTCTAAGCCAGCAATGATGGCCTGCTCTGTACTGTTCCTCACTACTGTGTCTTATGCATACTGCTCCCTCAGTTAGTCTCCCTCCTTAGACTGGGTGCCCATTGAAAGCAAGGGATAAGTTGTACTTATCTCTGTACTCCTCAGCACTTAGCACATAGTAGGAACCACATATGTTTGCTGAACTGAACTGATGAATAATGCTTTCATCAAACCAGTGAGAGATGGAAATGAAGAGTAAAAAATTCACAAAAAAGACTACATCTCATTATCAACCAATATTTTTTAAGTTCAAGCCACTATGCTAAAGCTATGAGGGATAGCAAAGATGCAAGACAGGTATCTCCTCTTAAACAACTATACTCAAGATGAAGAAGAGAAAAACTGTCATATTAAGGGATCTGTATCACAGGAGTGGCCTATACAATGTGGGTAGTGAGTTTGAAGGGCTAAAAGGTTTTTTTTTAAAAAAAGAGATCTTATGGAGGGGTCAGAAGTTAAAGACAGCATACAACTTATATGGCAAGAGTTCAGAAGTAGGAGAATAAAGAAAAAATTAAGCAGGAAGAACTCGTTCCTAAAAGAACACAACTACCCTAAAAGAATGAGCAGATAGGGGAAAGAGGGGAGAAAAAATGAGTTCAGTTTTAGACATGTGAATCCTGATTCCATGAACCAGAAAAGCCATCTATGGTATGCTGGATTTGAATATACTTTTTCTGCAACACCTACAGAAACAAAAAGCAACCTGCTCATCTTATTAAATGTGTCCTGACATTTCAGAGATAAAGAATCCTATATCAATAACTGAGCATTCTGGAGGAAACTGCAATCAGACTGGTGTGTAAGTACAAATCAATTAGCTAAAAACATTAATTAGAAATACAGCATGTTGGGCCAGCCCGGTGGCGCACTGCGCTAGTGCGCCGCTTGGGAGCGCGGTGGTGCTCCCGCCAAGGGTTCGGATCCCACATACAGACC